CATAACAAACAAATGTGTACTTTTCAAAGGAATAGTTCACCCCAAAATAAGCCATATGTCTTCATGTAGCATTTGTGAATGTAATTGATTTGAAAGCTGTGGTGGAGGAAAATATTTAAGTTGTTCCTCACACAAAGCATCTTATGACTTCTGAATAAAGTGCATGAGTCACATGGACGAATGTTATCATACTTTTATGATGGTGTTTGTTTTGGAGGCGCAGTAAAAATCACAGTCCACTATCGATGAATGGAAAAAGAAGCTCAAGGATTCTTCAAAACAGTTCCTGTTCTGTTTAAGGCAAAGGAGAAAACCCTACAGAAAATGACATGAGGGTGAGTAAATGATGACAATTTTCATTTTGATGTGAACTTTCTTTTCAGATCGTGAATAATAGCATAGGCAGAGAGAGAGTTTGAATCATCATAAAATCTGACGTAACAACTAGATCACATGAAAGCTTGTTTCTACTTTTTGTCGCCTATGGCTTTTGGCTTGCTTAGTTCGGGACACTTAATATTCAACAATATTATTAATCTGCCAGCACTGACACCATTAAATGAGAAGTGAACTGAGCTGGACGATATATAATATTAACTAAATTAATAACTTTTTTATAACAAAAATGAACCATCACTGAACTTACTTAAGCTGGACTGTGACGCTATTTTCTTCTGGAAACAGACTTTGTTGCATTATTGTCCTGTTATCTCTGTAAAGCTGCTTTGAAACACTGTGTGTTGTAAAACACGCTGTATAAATAAAGGAGATTTGACTCTACAGAATAAAAAAAGCTAACTGCAACTTTTTCTCTCACAATTCTGACTTTATAACTCGCAATTGCGAGTTCATCCCCACTAGGTCCCAGACTTTTTCTAAGCCACGTTTATAAAAGCTACTTAAATGTCCTAATTAAACTAAGGCCTAATGCTGTCTTAATCTAAACCCTGTCTGTGAAACCAGGCCTAAATCTCCCAATTCACAAGTCAGAATTGTGAGAACCTTTTAATTGAAAGAAATAAAGTCAGAATTGAGAGATTTAAGCCGGTTTCACAGACAAGGCTTAAGCTTGTCCCAGACTAAAATGCATTATTGAACTGTCTGAACTGAAAGAAACTTGCACTGACAGATCTTAAAATATATCAGCCATTGTTCTGTCTCAAGATGCACACCAGTAAAGTTATTATTTTTATTTTTTTCCAACGCATGTTTATAAAAGTTGATCTAAAGACTAATCCTGGCTTAATCTAAGCCCTGTCTGTGAAACCTGGCGATAAAGTTCAAAAAAAAAAAAGACATTTTTTTCAGAACACAGAATTGCAATAAAAGTTGAAATTACTTTTTATTTTTTATTGCAAGAAATAAAGTCAGAACTGTGAAATTTACAGGTCACATCTTGCAATTTTGACTTATTATCAGAATTAGTAAAAAATGGTAGAACTCGGAATTGCAAGAAAAATGTCAGAATTGTGAGATAAAAAGTTGCAATTAGTTTTTTAATTTTTATTGCAATAAATAAGGCCAGAACTGTGGAATTTAAAGTTCATATCTCGCAATTTTGACTCATTTTCAAAAAAAAAAAAAAAAAAAGATTCAGACCTCGGAACTTCAATAATTTTTTATTTTTTTTTAAGTTGCAATAACTTTTTAAATGTTTACTCCGTGGCAGAATCGAGCTTCCATGATATCATGTTGCGAGCTGAAGATGTCGTATACCTGAACCGTGCAGCCAAACACGCCGATCATGAGCATAGCGATGCCCAGATACTCCGACAGGACGTCCCACCAGGGCTTCAGGACCCTGAACTGCGGGTTCTGCTCCGACACGATGTTCCTGAACTCGTTCACAGGGATCATCTTCACACCTGACACAGGTCTGAACACTAGGAACATCAACAAGAAGGGTTACACTTTACAAGAGTTAACATGAACTAAGAATGAACAAAACTTCTTCAGCATATTCATATTAATTTCAACATTTACTAATACATTATTAAAATCAAAGGTTGTATTTGTTAATGCACTGTGTACTAACAAGAACAAACAATGAACAGCTGTATGTTTTATCAACTAATGTTAACAAAGATTAATAAATGTTTTGCTCATTGTTCATGCATTAACTAATGAACTTTACTGTAAAGTGTCACCAAAATAAGTATAATAGGCTACAGTTATTTAAAATAATGAAGTTGAGCAAACCTGATCAGTCACGTATATACAGTATAATTAACGTTTATTCATCTTTGTTACTGATTTTAGGACCATTTTCAAGTTCCCCAAAACACTTCTCTAGTTTCTCTCATTCCTCTCAGAATACAAGCTTTGTGTCTCTCAGGTTTGATGTGACTTTGCCATGTCAATCACAATGTGTTCATGATAAAAACCGCTGATGTCAGGTGAGAAGGCATGTTCAGCTTTTAGTATTCTGGGTAGTTTCGTTTAAAAATTTGTAAATATTAATAAAAAAAAAACGATATGGCGTAAGAAAAGCACAACTCACCTGCGCGTATACGTAGCGAAGCGCGTGAGTTTCTCAGCACATGCACGAGCGCGTTTCATCTCTCGGGGTTTAGACCTGAAACACACTCTCTGTCCTTCATCTAAAGGACTCTCAGTAGCAGCACAGGTTTCTCTTCACACTCTCTGTCCTTCATCTAAAGGACTCTCAGCAGCAGCACAGGTTTCTCTTCAGGGTTTGTTTGAGGGCGTTCAAGCGTGCAAGCGCCTCCCAGAACGAGTTTCATCATGAGAACTCAATGAGTCAGAGATGAGACAGCCTGTCAACAGCAACGCTATTATAAACAGCCCTGCAACAGATTCATATCCAGCATTCATATTTCAGCGTCACTTTTTCGTCTGACTGACGTTCCGTTGTGAAATGTTTACAGCGCGCGCGAACAGTCATCAGATAAACAACAAGCAACTTAAAATATACACATACAGTATACAGTTTTCGCGCCAAATTTCCACTCTAATATAGTGAAATATCATGACAACCCACTCGTGAGGACATTTATATGAATGTATATGCTACTCTGCGTGCAATAACATAGATAATATAGTTTTTTTTTTATTAAAAGTATTATTTAGACATTTTATGTGTAACAATTTTTGAGTATTTACGTCTTTATTACTAGTATTATTACACTCTTTTTATTTTTGCATTGACTATTCTAGTTTTTTTTTAATGCTATTTATTGACAAAGCTGCTAAGACATGCACTCTAGTTTCTAATGTTTTAGTAATTAATGTTTTTATCTTGTGTTTTGCCCGGGACCTTAGTGCTTAGTTTCGTTCCTTCATGTAAAAATGTGTATGAAATGACAATAAAAGACCATTCAACCTTAAATAATTTGAGGATATGCACAGGTTTCTATGGGGGTTAAAATATATATATTTTAGTGCATCTTCTCCACTCAAAATATTTCAGTTTAAAGCTGCTTAAAATTAAGTTCTGCGTTAATGCCACTTTTTTTTTTTTAACCAAAGCATCTATATTTAACCAACGCGCGTGCACGTAATTCAGTGTTTTGTCGCCACCGCGCGACTGAAACAAATCAAGACAAACCAGTGCAAGAAACATATGCTTTTATTATACAATGTTTGTACAAGGTATTCGATGCTGTAAAAATTACAAAGCAGACTTTAAATAATCCTTTATATAGTGATTTAAAGAAACAAAAGCATCCCTTTTAAAACCAAAAGCTTAATTTGTAAAAATGAGCCCCAGTTCAGTCCATTATGAATAAACAGGAGCCAACATTATCCAATAGCCAAGGGACAATAATTCAAAATAAATAAAATAAAATAAAAAAACAGACTTCATGCAATATACCAATGTACAAAATCCCTGGAAAAGCAGCTTAAATTGGTTTTTACAAATACATTGTGTCATCAGCCTGTGAAAATCAGCTTTCATTTGAGCAAAAACAAAAGTTGGCATCTAATGCCTTTGTAGGCTGGAATACAGTTAGATAAATCTGGAAACGTTCCACATCTCATTTTATTAGTAAAAACTTTGTATGTGTGTACATCTCTAAATACAAAATCATCCAGACAGCTTAATCAAAGCTGAAAAACTGATTTCCAACTGAGTGTCCGCTAGGTCAGGGTGTGTTTTGGCCATCTCCGTTCTCACGGCTCGAACCTCAGGCATACTGACGCGGGTCATGGCACTTTATTGGGCTCAGAAGGAGGTAGACATCCACACGACTGAATGCTTTTACAAAACATCCGGTATAGAAGCGTCTGCTGCACGATTAACCTTCTTCACTCGCCTCGCAATACAGACCTAATCAGGCAGGAGTCTCAAAGTGTGTGATGTTCAGAGATCTCCGGCTGCACTGAGACTGAAGATCATCCAGAACAACAGATTTACTGTGCGCTAATGACACAGAGAGAGAGAGAGAGAGAGAGAGAGAGAGAGAGAGAGTGTGTGAGAGAGAGAGAGAGAGTGTGTGAGAGAGAGAGAGAGAGAGTGTGTGAGAGAGAGAGAGAGAGAGAGAGAGAGAGAGAGAGAGAGAGAGAGTGTGTGTGTGAGAGAGAGAGAGAGAGAGAGAGAGAGAGAGAGAGAGAGAGAGAGAGAGAGAGAGTGTGTGTGAGAGAGTGTGTGTGTGTGAGAGAGTGTGTGTGTGTGAGAGAGTGTGTGTGTGTGAGAGAGAGTGTGTGTGTGTGTGAGAGAGTGAGTGTGTGTGAGAGAGAGAGTGAGTGTGTGTGTGTGTGAGAGAGAGAGAGAGAGTGTGTGTGTGTGTGAGAGAGAGTGTGTGTGTATGAGTGAGTGAGAGTGAGTGTGAGAGAGAGTGTGTGTGTGTGTGAGAGAGAGTGTGTGTGTGTGAGAGAGAGTGTGAGAGAGAGTGAGTGTGTGTGTGAGAGAGAGAGAGTGAGAGTGTGTGAGTGAGTGTGTGTGTGTGTGTGAGAGAGAGTGTGTGTGTGTGTGAGAGAGAGTGAGTGTGTGAGAGAGTGAGTGAGCGAGAGAGTGAGTGAGTGAGCGAGAGAGAGTGTGAGTGTGAGTGTAAAAGAGAGAGAGAGTGAGTGAGTGTGAAAGAGAGAGAGAGTGAGCGAGCGAGAGAGCTAGTGTTTCTGACACGGGCTCAGGCCCTTCTGGCACGGCTCCATGGTCACGGCGACTCCGACGCCGCTACGACCTGACGTCATGTTGGTGACCTCAGTCCACGAGTCTGTTTCTGGGTCGAAACTCTCCACGCTGTCCAGGAACGTGTTCCCATCATACCCTCCTGCAGAGAGAGAGGGAGAGAGAGAGAGACAGGGTTACATGCATGTCTGAATACTGTGCTTCAGTAATCATCCAAACAATACGCATTTCTAGTCCTTCACACACAAATAACTGTTTTTTAGCACAGGTCATGTGTTCCAGGTCAAGTGTAACATGTGACTCAACATTAGCCCCCTACACACACACACACACACACACACACACACACACACACACACACACACACACACACACACACACACACACACACACACACACACACACACACACACACACACACACACACACACACACACACACACACACACACACACACACACACACACACACACACACACACACACACACACACACACACACACACACACACACACACACACACACACACACACACACACACACACACACACACACACACACACACTCTTTTCTGGGAAATCACCGGTAACAGATCATGTGTGAACAGGACCGGTCAATTGGTTCCGGAAGTTGTAACATAACCGGTATTTGCGCTGTGTGAACGCGGAATGAAGATTCCCGGTATTTTGCGTGTACGTATTGTCTGTGAGGACCGAAATAAATTTGTGTTGAATTGAAATTAATAGTTAGTAGGTAGTTATTAAGTTTAGGTATTGAGAGATGTAGAATATGATCATGCAGAATAAGGCATTAATATGTGCTTTATAAGTACTAATAAATATCCTAGTAATATGCATGATAATAAGCAACTAGTTAATAGTGAGAATTGGACCCTAAACTAAAGTGTTACCAGAATGTACACTCAAAAGTTTTGGATCGGTAAGATTTTTAATGCTGTTCTTTTGATCTTCCTATTCGTCAAAGAATCCTGATATTAATCATAAATGTTTCTTAAGCATCAACTCATCATATTAGAGTGATTTCTGAAGGATCATGTGACACTGAAGACTGGAGTAATGATGCTGGAAATCAGCTTTGATCACAGGAATAAATTACACTTTACTGTATATTCACACAGAAAACTGCTGATTTACACTGGAGTAATATTTCACATATTTTTTTGTATTTTTAATCAAATAAATGCAGCCTTGGTGAGCAGAAGAGACTTTTTTCTTTTTTTTTAAACATTAAAAATCTTACCGATCCAAAACTTTTGACTGGTAGTGTATATATTGTGACATATTTATACCAAGTTTTACAAATGAAGAGTTTGGTTCCAAAACACGATAAACGGCATTTAAAAAAAAAAAATTAGTTACTGCAAAAATCAGTATTATATCTGGTTGGTATTGAAAAGTCAATGTTTAATTTTAAGTAAAATGCGATATCCGCCGTGTTATTCTGTCATGTTTTCTCCCTTTCTTTCCAAACCGCGACAAACGCCAGTCTCCCTTCTCTGCGACATATCCGCTCTCAACCAATCACAGCGCACCATTCCACTCTCAACCAATCACAACGCACCATTCCACTCTCAACCAATCACAACGCACCATTCCACTCTCAACCAATCACAACGCACCATTCCACGCAATGTAAACGGTAACGGCATCGCCTTAAATACACCCGGCTTCCTAGTTCTTATCTATTTTGTACTTTTCGATCAACAAACAAACAAAAAAATTAATAATTTTGAGGGCATTGATGAACCTGTGGTTGTTTCTGCGGTGGGTGAGAAACGTAAGGCATCGAAATCGAATCATTTACATGAGGAGATTAAGAAGACGAGACCCTCGAGGAGGAGGAAAGATGTTTTCAATCTTCTTTACAGTTCTTAATAAAAATATTATACTAATAAACTTACATTGTTGTGTATTTTCAACAGTTTCAATATAAAAAAAAAACCTTTTATATTGATTCAATGGATTAATTGCATTTTGGGGGGAAAAGTAAAACCGTTTTTATAATAAATCTTTGAAAATCAAAACCTGGATTTTAATTTTTTTTTGTTATTATGACCTACAAATGCTATGTGAAAGTTTGAAACAGAAAATAGTGGTTCTCATCTTTCCACTTTCTTGGTAAAGAAAACACATTTTTACTCAAATTAATCTAAATGGATTTATTGCGTTTTGGACCCAAACTCTTCAAATATGTTAATTGTGCTCATTTTGGCTTTGAGGCTCTCCAGCTTGTAGACGGTGTTGCGTGCGCTGATGAATCTCTCACAATAACCCCAGAAACATGTCTTTAGATTGAGCTACTTCCCTGTAGCCCAAACAGGAGAGCGCTGGCGCTTGCAACGCCGAAGTCATGGGTTCGATTCCCAGGGAAAGCAAGAACTGATAAGAATGTAAATGTGTACCTTGAAATGCAATGCAAGTCGCTTTGGATAACAGCGTCTGCCAAATGCATAAATGTAAATGTAAGCATGAGCTCGTACCCAGCACGTAAATGCGCGCGTGGTGCGCCGTCACTCCCAGCGCGCTGCGTCTGTGCCTCATGGATGATGTGAAGCTCCAGCTGTCCGTCTCCACGTCGTAGCGCTCCACCGTGTTCAGCTGATTCGTGCCGTCGTAACCGCCCATCACGTAGATGAAGTTCCCCAGCGCACACACACCTGAACACACAGCACAGCACAGATGTGTTTCTTCATCTAGACATGCAGTTTGAACAATCATAAACTGGATTAATGATCCGTGTCTGATCACTAATGTTTAACAGCATTGGTGTCAGCAAAACTAAGAAAACTATTTTAACAATTTCGATTCTGCTTATCAAATCCTAATTTTGATTTCAATAAGGTAAAAAAACACACAAAAAAAACACACGTAGATATTCACATTTATTCTTATTGCAAAGCAAACCCTTTAATTGTAGCTGAAAATCAACAGACTAAAGAAACATTAAAAATACTAGCTTAACTAATATACATCTCAAGCATTATTAAAGACGAGGAAACACTCAGTGATTAAAAAAGAACAAATAAACAAATTAGCAATCGCAACAAATAGACACAACTGAACAAAGATACGATTGAAATAAACAGAGCTTTAAGATTTCCAGGTGTTCAGGAACAGAAACTGTAATCAAGTGTAAAATAACACTGCACTTGTCTTTAAAAAATAAAATCTACATTACAAATACAAAAGTTATAAAGTCTTTTGTTGTTTGATTAGTGTTAGCACTAAGTAATATTAGCACTGAAAAAAAGGTGCGCGAGTCGTCTCACGCTTGAATGGTTTAGAGTCATATTGAAATGCTCACAAAGGAATCGATATTTTAATTTTATAACAAGTATCCGATTCCTGACCTCAAGTATCCGATTCCAGAATATCAATTCCCAACCCTAGTGAGGTTCAGGAAGTGTGTATTTATTCACTGCTGTCGCTCTTATCCAGCGGTTCACAGGGACCAACATCTGTCGGCCTCTAACGAGCACAAATCATACAAGAATAAAACCGTCATCTATTTGACTCACTTTTCCCAGTCTGATGCCCTGTGAGAAACAGTCGTCCATGTGACGGAGTCGCCAGTTTCACTCTGTTATGAGGCTTTCTGTCATGTTTGGAGCTTGAAGGGTTAATGTTAGTTCACCCAAACATGATAATTGTCTCTCCCTCATGTCGTCATAAGACTTTCATTCATCTTCGGGACACAAATGAAGGTGTTTTTAATTAAATTGATGTCCCTCCATTAATAGTCTGTTCACCCAAAATGTTCATAAAGAGATCATAAAATGATTTTAATGCATTCCCTATATTGGCTGGTGCAGAAGCTCAAAAGTACCACATGACACGCAACAATGAATCTTATTGGTTCTTCCTTTTGTGCTCCGTGTTTGTACCAAGCGTGCCGCACAAGCCCTGAACAGTCCTTCCAGAAAAACGCTGAGTTTTTTTGTGATTGTTGCAGGCAAAAATCCTTGATTACGCGGCCCGTTTTCTTAAAAAATGCGATGGAATATGCGGGATATTTATGCAATTTTATGCAATGAAATTGCGGGAACTTGCACAGGGTGCCCCCAGGATTCTCCAACTTAAATTCAAGGCTTTTTAATACCATTTCAAATGAAATTCAATGCCAACTTCGTACCCATTCCGACAGAAGTATGAGGGGAAAATGTCAAATCTGTATACATTTTAACCCTCTGGGGTCTGAGGTGTTTTCGGGGTCCTTGAGATGTTTTGGCATGCTCTGACATTTGTGCATTTTTCAGTTGCTTATAAACATATTAATGGCACAGGTGAAATTACACTCTATATAGCACACACAGGGCTACCATTATATGTGAGCAACATGTATGTACATGTTTGTATTTTTGAGAGAATATTGTTTATGCGTGGTTATTGAAAAAACTAAAAAATAAATTTTCTAATATATGGCCACAAATAACATACTAAATATCTGTCCACAAGACTTTTGACTAGTGGATGTTGTCGCCTAGAGTATTTGCTTCAAATTGATCTGAAAATCATTCTGGCTAATCATTCACATAAAACAATAGATTGTTTTAAATTGTGAAAAACATTTTTTTGTTTGCAAAGGCAATATGCGGATGGGCGGATCGGCCCAACCCCCTCATGAATAATTAGGCAGTTCTCACCTGAGCAGACTGCATACTAATGAGCCTTTCATTCAGGGGTGTCACACAAGAAAGAATGCAAGGACAATATATATATATAAATAAATAAATATTTATATACACACACACACACACACACACATATATATATATATATATATATATGTGTGTGTGTGTGTGTGTGTGTGTGTGTGTGTGTGTATATAAATATTTATTTATTTATATATATATATATATTGTCCTTGCATTCTTTCTTGTGTGACACCCCTGAATGAAAGGCTCATTATATATATATATATATATATATATATATATATATATATATATACATATACATATATATATATATATATATATATATATATATATATATATATATATATATATATATATATACATATACATATATATATATATATATATACAAACAATCAAAATATAAATGAAAGCCAAAAGCACATTTTTAGTCACACATTTTAGCCATCCACATACCATTTTTAGCCATCCACCGCGGTAAAAATAAACCAGTCGCATTTCAAAGTCGTACGCGAAATGACCGCCAGGTGGCGCAAAGGGACATTTAGCAAAACGTAAGTGGGGCTAATGTCTATTAACAGTAGCCTAAGGATGAAATACTACAAGTTATGGTAATTTCCAAATAAGCCTACAACAAATTGTTGGTCATACAGATAAGATATAATCTTTTAAAACTGTAAAAGGTTAAAGTAGGCCTACACTCACAGGCTAAAGACAAAACGTTTTCTCGCTCATGTGAGAATCAAACGTTTGGTTATTTCTCAGTAACAAAATTCATAGCCGAGCGGTAGAACTGATGGTTCATCATCAAGATGACACAGGTTCAAATCCCGCACAAACATGGTCTGCTGTATATTTTATATTTATTATTGCAGAGAGATTTGTCTAGCTCTAAAACTCTGTTACACCATACAGTTTTGTTTTATATAGGCTATATATATTTTTTTATTTTTTTATTCCAGGCTCTCACGCCACCCCCCCGATTTCTCACGCTGAAGTGTCAACCCGGTCGGTCAAATTCCTGAAAGATATAGTTTATCTATAGATCTACCTGTTGAGCCACTCGTGATCGACTAGTTATACCGTAAATTAGTTAAAATATCCCGTAATCTATTTAGAGCGAGCGTGCATGCGAGACAGATATTGTGCTCCAAACCGTGCGCGCGCATGGCAGAGAGGTCTGTTCCCTACAACCTAGAGTTTTTAAAAACATGGTTTTAAGTAAAGTGTGATTTGCCAGGGGGGACTGGGATTTCCTTCTGGTCTAAACATCCCTACTTCTGCTGAATTATTTTAATCCCCACACCCCTCCCTCCACAGCTAATCAATGCTATAGGCTACTTCACCAATATCAAATATATAAAATAGAGATATGCAACAGGCACGTTTAAACGAAAAACAATAAAATCAAAACCAGCGTTTCAGTTGTTCATTAGTTCCAGTGGCCTTAATGCATGCACGGCTTTTCAAAATTTCACAAAGCGTGTTGAGATTATTTTGAATGAAATATTGAAGTTTATAATTAAGTGTTTTGGCACACCACGCCGAGTGACCCTATGCATTTTTCTAAAGTCGGGTTTTATTCTGGCATCGTGAGTTAGTGTTCGACAAACGCGGCGGCGCGTTCATTTAGATTAATTTATTTATCTCATTATTACAGCTAAAATAACTTAATAGGCGACTCCGTAATTTTTTGGTCATACAGATAAGAGTAGAGTAGCTTACATCGTTCAAAACTGTAAACTTGTATTCATATTAGGCTAACGACAAAAACAGTATATCTGTCCTCTCTGTCTCCGGGAACTGCGCGTCACAAAAATGAACCGAAAGCCACTTCAGCTCAGTCACGATAAGAAATCGGCTATGTCTAAAGCCTTTAAATGTCTAAATATTTAGGCTAATAAATGTTATCTGATTATGTAGGCTAATCCATATGAAAACGAGAGGTACAGAGGATCTACTCAAACATGCGCTTCCCAATGAGAAAATGACAAGACATGGGTGAAAATCTCGCTCTAATTAAATGTAGGCTAAATCGCCCTGAATTAAAATGTAAAAACATAATAATGTATTTGTCGAAATGTTGCGATATTGTTTCATTTAAGTTCATAATTATTCTATAAATGTTATTTAATTTAGCAGCATTACCACGAAGCACCGTGTTTCGATATTTATTTGAATAATACAAAATAAAATAAAAACTTAATTCACAAATTGCATGCCTGGTTGTAAGGATCCAAAGATCCCTGTAGACTTTAATATTAAGTGACAACAAATTCACAAGCGTTTTTTCAGATTATATTTAGTTTTGCTTGGAAAAAGCTGCCCCAAACCAGTTTTATTTCATCAATTATTGAAATAATGAAATATTTAGTAATAAACTTTTATGACAGAAATATCACTAGGCTACATGTAACTTAAATCATTTAATTCCTTCATTATCAACACTGTCTAGAATGGCGATTTAAGTGTGAATTGCGACTTCTCTTTGTGTTAAGTCAGCCTCAGACTCCGATAGCCTGTGGGGGGTTGGAGGGACAGTTGCTGGACAAAGGTGTTAATGTTCCTCTTTCATATGGAGAGTGTTGGATAGCCAGGCTGATGAGCAGGCAAAATTATTGTAAGGATAAATCTGTGTCCAAATGTAGGCCCCATATCTTATTAAATTATAAATATTGTAGTTTATTTATTGTAGCCTATTTAAAGTTTTTTTTTCACACAAAATTTCAATTGAAGTTATTGTAAGGTGAATTCAACAAGGCATGCTGTGTCTTTGAAGCAACAATTAAAGGTTAAATAATTTTTTCGTGATTTGTATGGCTGACACGCAGCGACATATACAGTATTATCAGCTGTATGATGTGTTTTTACCCTGAAATGATTAATTTCGAGAGAGAGACCCGCGCGCGCAGCGAGGGAGACTAAATAAACTTGTTAAAAAGAGATCCAGCGCGAGAGAGGCAAAGAGAAACGCATGTTTTTAATTTAATTATGTTTCT